ATAAATTGCACCACTTTAATTTGAATTATCTCAAATAGCCTGGAGGCGGGTGAGGCGACAGGAAAAACTAACTTTTTTTCGCAAACTTCAATTTAAATTCTGTTTGCGCCCAACTTGTCTATTTATTGTCATTATAAACTATTATAAATTTGGTGTGGGTCCCATGTCTAATAACTGAGATATTGGTATACATAAAATCCACCAGCCGCCACTGGTGGTAGGAACATTTTTAGTGGGAATTTATTAATTACAGTGTTGCCTAGTATTATGAATACTATAATTATGACACCTGCAATTGCAGGTGTCAGAAATCCGCCTTTTAACTTACTTAGTTGTGTTAACACAAGTAAGGGCCGGTTTATCAATGTCCAGATAAGTGTCTTAACTGGTAAATAAAATTAAAGTGGTAGCTAAACTGTTTATCAATATGCAACTAACGTTTACTAAGAACTTAAATTAAGATAACTGGAAGTAAATTTAACTGGAAGCTGCAAGTGTCAGATAGTGAATTAACTACCATGGTAGTGAACCAAACCGTGACTTATGACCTAAAATTTACGTAACACGTAGATCATATGTAGGTAATACAATTCTTACGTCATAGTGACATAATACTGACCCAAAACGTGACTTTCATATGATGTAATTAAATGACTTACATATTACGTACATCTTATGTAATATTAAAGTCATATCGTGACGTAACATTAAAGTCACTTTTCTTACGTAAGACTGACATAAGAAATCTGTCATAATATTACATAAGTTTTAGGTCACTGTCTTATGTAAGACTGACGTAATAAATCTGTCATAATATTACCTAAGTTTTAGGTCACTTTCTTACGTAAGGCTGACGTAAGAAATACGTCATACTATTACATACGTTTTAGGTCACTTTCTTACGTAAGACTGACGTAAGAATTCCGTCATATTATTACATAACTTTAAGGTTACTTTCTTAGGTAAGACTGACATAAGAAATTTGTTATACATATTATTTAGACGAACTAGATGCAAAAGTAATTTCAAAGTATGAAATTCACTGTATTTTAATGTTTAAATTAAACTAATTTCAATGAATGGACTTTTATTTTCAATGAATGAAATAGGCAAACAATTTTTATTTTTTATTCATTGAAATGGTTAATTACAATTATTGAGTAAAATAACGTAACTAAATTTTATTCATTGAAATTGACGCCGATTATTTTAAACAATAAAATCAGTGGATACTTTTCCTTACCAATCAGTTTAATTTAAACATTAAAATACAGCAAATTTCATACTTTGAAATTACTTTTGCATCTAGCATGATGAAAGAAATAACATCATATAGATTTTTATGATTCCGGTTCCTACTGCTTTATGACGTAAAAAATTTTGAAAATAGCGTCGTACTTTCAAAAGTACACATTTTATTCAATGGTCATGTGAAAAATCATGTAGGTACTCATATATAATCATGGTTGCAAGTACTTGCAAGTACCTACTTATTTTTTAAATTGTAAAAAATTATCAACAAAAGATTTACGTGTTATTACGTGTTATTTTGTATTGTATGTTACTGTTATTATTTTTTGAAAATTTTTGAAAATGGCGATTTTGGTGAAAGTGGAATTTTTTTGTTCCACCCTGTACAATCGAAAAAATAAGTAGTTACGCTTTAAAAGACCTGAATTCAGGTCATATCATTTAAATGATATTTCACTCACTTCAAATTTTTTTAAATGTGACCTTGGCAGTACGACGTCATTTATTTTTTTTTTTAATCCGTGCATGTCAAAAAATGTTACCTACCTATTAAAATACTAAAATTTTAAATTTCTAAAATAAAAATAATTTTTAAATGTTGAATATTGTCCCTAGCTATAACTATAGCTACCTACTCATAAGAAGCGATTTTTTTTGTTCTTATTTCTGACATACCCTGTAAAGAATCTGACAAATTAGTAGTTGGTTCAAAATCCATTGTGAGTTGGTTTTGATCAGCTTTATAAATTAGATAAAGTTTTAGTTTGAAATAAATACCTTTTCGATAATGATTCCATTTCTCATTGAAAAAATGTGACCTTTTGACAGTACGACGCCATTTTAGAAAATTTTCAAAATTGGTTTAAGTCAAAAAGTAGTACCCTTGTCTCTGGTAGTACCTATATATTTAATGCCTTGTTTAACATACTAAAATTTCAATTTCCAAATACAGAGGTTCAAAAAATAAAACTATAATAAATAATACAACCAAATTTAAAAAATTTAGTATTATAATATAATATGGTATAATTATATATTAATATAATACCTATAATAATAGATAGGTATTTGCACAATATTGTGGGTATTAGTATATTTTTAAATTTATAAAATGATAAATAAAAGAAATGAAATTGACAAACGAAATTATTTAAGTACACTGAGAATATTTAGTATTAAGAAACCAAGAGATTTTTAAAAATATATGTAAACTATTAAAGAATTTTTCATTGATAAACAAATTTTATAATAATATTAATTATAATATGGTCCGGTTATTGTGTTTCAGACAAATAAGGTTAATGTTGTCAAATAACATTGATATATTAATTGTTAACAGTTGCAATATGCAGTAAAGGTTGCCTATGATAAGTAGGCATCTACTATAATATAATAGAAATCTACTTATCATGGGCAACCATTATTGCATAATACATCTCGCTTATGTGGCACTATTCGTTAAGTATATAAGTTGACACTGGCTGCATTGCAATTTGAGAATTAGGAATGCGAATCTCGGCAAATAAACGAGTTATGAATTGTGGCCCACGATTAAATTTAGCTTTTTCATTAGAATTCTTTGAGGCCCTCTGCTTAAAGTTGAAGCCCAAACAGTGCCTGCTTTGCAAGGCCTAAGCCGCGAACCCATAATTTTTGTCATTTGGAAGAGGGAACTGATTTCAGCCAAGTGAGATGTGTTTCAGTATTCACCACTGAACTATAGTTCAGTGGTATTCACTTATTTTGTCCCATGATGAAAAATAAGGAAAGGGGGCTTCGTCATTCTGAGGTCATATTTATGTCACATTTATTACGTAAATATTATGTAATGGTATGATGTCAGTGTTACATCAAGATGTTTACGTCATATTTATGTCATATTTATTACGTCAGAGTCTGACGTAAGGAAGTGTGAAATAATGACTCTTGTATGACTCAAGTGTGACCTATATCTTATGTAAGCGTGACTTGACATGACGTCATATTTACGTCATACTTACGTAATTGTGTTTACTGCAGTTATCGCGGTTTACTGGTTATATTTGTGTTTGAGTAGTGTTGTTTTTGAAATGAATATGGAGATTTTATTGAAAGTCACGACGATGAACAAATTGTTGACACTAGAGAAGAATTATACAGTTTTAGAACGGACAAAAAAATTTGACATGTAATTAAATTTAAAAGTAGAGAAAAAGAGAATGAAGAGCCTAAAAATGAAGAAGCATACTATGGACCGAAAATATTGGTCCGCCCTGTAGTTGCACTACCACTTTCACTTGATGCAATGATTTTAGCATCACATTGACAACCGTGCTCGATCAGCTGATTGATGACGTGTACGTCGTTTCCTTTTAAATTTACTATAGTCATCACTGCTATAGTCGCTTTTAAATTTACTATACAGTTCGATTTTTAAAAGAAGTAACTTTCGTCATAGATTTAAAACCTGTTCTTCGACATACGTATCGCTGTATGCCATCGCTCCATGGCTAGCGCCCCTGGGCGTGGAAATACAAAACAATGTCTGAGTTTGATCCGTAAATTCAAGAGGTCGGGGCAATAAGGGACCGAAGCCTCATTGGAAAAGTATTAAGCAAGCAAAGTTTGTTATTTTGATATTGTGATTAGTTTTAAGAAATCACTTAAATTTTATTAAAGGATATAAAAGTTTAAAAAAATTTTTCTTTTTATTTCAGGCTTTAAATAAACACTTTAAACCGTGTTTACTTAATATTTTTTCAATGAGGCAAGTCCCTTATTGCCCCGACCTCTTCAATTAATGATGAAAATTACTTCTTTTAAAATTCGAACTGTAGTCGCTTCGTTTTGGACACAATCGAAAAGTAATTAGTAATTAATAATTACTTATTAGGTAATACATATAGGTATTTGTAGGCCCGCTGCTTTCACGTGCAATTTTAATTTATAATTTCTAGCCAAAAAGCCTGAAATCCGAAGGTATAGGCAATGTGCCTATATATCTACTAGATAATATTATCTAGTAGATATATAGGCACATTTATATAAATTATCTAGGGTGTAAGTAAATTTTGCTTCAGAGCTGAAATTTTAATAAATCTATTACAAAAATTTACCGTGTCAAGCAAAACAATTTTCGAATTTTGACCAAAAAATTGTTCGAGTTTAAAGTATTGTGCGACCATTAAATTTTTTTTAAATCAATTGAGCTGATTTTTAAACAGATCTTTTAAAGCATAATAAACTAATATTATTTAATAGGAGACTCGAAAAAAAAGTTTTTTGTTTGCGGAGAAAAGAGTACAGCCTAGTGATTTAATAATAATAATAATTAATATTAATATTTGATAAGCAAAAAACAGATAAAATATTAAATATTATAAGAAGTTTTTATTAAATCTCTAGATTGGCTCAAAAATCTCTTAAACTAGTTAAACTTCACTGGGCCTGGTAAATATTTTAATATTCGAATATTTAAAAATTCGATTATTTGAATATTCCAATATGTACTCGATATTCGAATATACGAGTATGTACAAGAATATTCGAATAATTCGAATATTCGAAATAATTTTCAAACGAGTAGGTATTCGAATTTCTAAAACTAAAAAAATTCACAGCTTTAGAATTTACTATGCATCATTATTTGGTTATAGGTAGACAGTTTTAAATTTATTGGATAACAAAATAATAATATTTAAAGAAAGTTAAATTTGTAAAAAACTTCTTTGAGCGTTTGAATTGGCGCCACGCATGCGGACTACGGAACACGGCGCCTGTATACCGGACATTGTAGTAACCAACTGTGCAACGGTAATGAACGCAAATGGAGTGGTGTAGCGAAAAAGCGTGTTTTGTTAAATAATTTGTGCAATTATTGCCTTAAACGTCTGTGAAATATAGTTTCGTGTGTCCGTTTTTGGCTATGGAGAACTCAAACTCGGAAGGTGTCGTCATACCGGACATTTCCGAAGCCGAGCAGCTTGCGAATGAGCACGATGGCGGCGATAATGGAGAAAATGTTGATACGAAAGATCCAAGAATTGCCACGGTATCTGTTAGGCATGCAGGTGTTCCTGTGTCTTTGCCCGTCGGGTCTCTTATCACCAGTACTTTTAATGTTATTACACAAGACCAAATTCCTCATTTTAAGCCTATGCTTTGTGTTGATAACGGATACATAGCAACAGACGGCTCAGGAAACGAACTAAAAACAATTGTTATCCAAGAGGACGTTTCAGGCGGTAGTTCGACTCCTGTAACAGTTTCAGCTCCTTCAGTAGGTTCGTGGAACGAGGCTGCCAGTTTACCAGTTTTGCCTGTTAGATGTAAAAATACTTCAGCTGAACTCCATAAATTCCGATTCGGTTCGGGGGGAAGAGGGCGCTGCATTAAATTGGGAAATTCTTGGTATACTCCAAGCGAATTTGAAGCTCTTTGCGGGAGAGCATCCAGCAAAGATTGGAAAAGAAGTATAAGATTTGGAGGAAGAAGCCTTCAAACACTTATAGACGAAGGTATGTATGTGTTTTAATTAAACTATGTTTGGTATCCTGCATAAACAAAAATTGCATAATTTACGAGGGTTGATCCAAAAATCGCATTAAAAAATTAAATATCAAGAACATTGAATAAATAACTTATATTAACTATAATATACAACTATTATACAAGGTTGGAAAAATTTTATTTTTTTTTTTGACAAGTATAGGTACTTAATATACAGGGTGTCTCACCAGCGATGCATCGCGATGGTACCTTAGACGTTTACGGAGAACGGCTGAGGATATCAATTTGAAATTTTTATAGCAATTATTGTACAATTTAATCTACCTTTTAAAATTATTTTAAATAAAATTCCTCTTCCGGTTTAACCGGAAGCGACATCAACTTTGTTATTTCCAATGGAACACCCTGTAATTTTTTTTATTTTTAAATTCCTCATGAAATTCTTAATGAAATTGCTGTACCATTCCCTATACCTAAACTTAATAGTTTTCGAGTTAATAATTTTTTTCGTAACATTTTGACAGTTTTCACCTTCATTAAAAATAGCTTATAACTTTTTTGATATTCGGTTTGCTGGTATGCTGTAAGGATTTTTGGAATCTTAAAACATTGTTTTAAAGATTCCATGTCTGAAACTTTCATATTTATGATCAAAAACCAGAGAAAAATCGTGTTAAATTTAGTTAACTTCAAACATTAATAACTTGTTTATTTTCAATGGAACGGTAGGTGTTTTTACATAATCAAATAGGAAAATGAATTACATTTTGATTGTTATAACCATTCCCTATACCTAAATAGTAAGGTTTCGGAAACACAAGCAAATTTCTGTAAAAATACAATATTTTGACATATTTATCTCAGATACTTACCGATGAAATGTCACAACAAATTAGTTATGTCATTGATTGACAGTTGATACATTTCTTAAGGAAGATATTTTAAAAATAATGGAAAACAACAATTAAACCAAGTTTTAAGAATTTAATTATTATAAATTATAAAAAACGTGATGGAAAAAATAACAACCAAAATACTATTTTAATAAATGTTCAAAATGGCGACCATTGACTTGCAAACATTTTAAAATATTACTTATTTGGCACCATACACATTAGAATTTCATTAAATGCAGTATTAATATTCCTAAATTCTTACACCAACCATTGTTATTGAGATACTATCTCCATGCAATAGTTTTAACTAGGGTTGCCACCCATCCTTTATTTCAATTAATTAATTTTCCTTCCATTATGTCGAAATGTCCTCTATTTTTAGTTTTTCAGAATCAAAACTATTTTAAGGTATAGGGCTCGTACATTTTTTTCAAGTTATCGAATCGATCCCATTTTATCCTACCATTACTGTCCCTATAGGTAGGTAGTAGAAATTTAATTTCTTTTATATTTTATAACTTGTCCGTTACGTCATCAGTATACAGCTTCAGCTCAGACAAGCTCAAATATTTTCTCAGCGCGGTGCGAAAAACAGGTTTTTCATAATATTATTTAAAAATTTTAAATACCTAGGTACTATTAAAATTTTGTCTGCGAGTTCTGTGTACGTAAATTAAAAATAATAATAATCTCCTTGTCTGTAAGTTTTGTGTTCTGTCAAAAACTACCGAATTAGAAAACATTTTTAAAATACCTACAATAACAATTATTGTAATCTCCTTATACACCTTTTTAATAGTAGCCGAACTGAGTAATCAAAAAATTGCATCAAATGGTATAAAAACCTAACCTCAAAGTTTGTAGGGGACAATAAGCAACCCCTGTTTTCACGACACTGTATTTACTCAAACAATTGTAATTATGTGTGAATATGTGTAAGAGACTTTTCGCAAAATATAACCTTTCCAAGTCTATACCATATACCATAGTAGAAGTTATATTAAAAAAACTGATATGATAATATCACCCTGTATCTTTTAAACATACGTAATTAGGAAACATATTTATTTAGATTTTCGTCTTATTTTGACTTGCTTAATCTGTTCCTAAATTTATGCCACTAAGTTTAGGGACACCTTGTAGATCAAAATTCAGTCAAAGCTTTGTCTACTTGTATTGACAAAACTTTATGTAGGTACACTTTAACTGTATTAGAAAAACTACCACATTTTTTAGAAGTAATAGGTACCATATCATACAGTCTTCCAAATAATCCAAAACACTTTTTATTTTGGTAAAAATAGATTTTTCTAACCTTAAAATTATAAAATTATATGATATTTTTTATTATAATATATATATTAAACTACCTTTAATACAGATATACTTATTCCATAATAGAGAAACTAGATTTTTTAATAAATGCTGTTTAGTTAAAATTGCACAAAAATATTACTTATTTGGTACCATAGGTACTCTTTAGAATTTCATTAAATGCAGTATTTATATTCATAAATTCTTAAACCAGCCATTTTTATTGTGATTTTATAAAGATTTATAAATTTTTAACGCTTAAACATAATATTATTTCTTTTCTTGACTATACATAACCTGAAAAGCCTTAAACAAAGATAATACATGTATAGTAAATTTAAAAGTAAACTACGTACACGTCATCAATAAAACAAAAATTTTACGCATTGGTACCAACACTAAATGACTAAATCGAAGTCTGTAATTGAATATTTGAATGCATTTTAAACATCTTCAGTTGGCAACAATTAAGATGTTGTCATATTTACATTTAAATATTTCATATTTGAGTCGTATAGATTCAAAACCCGCCAAATCCATTTATTGAAAGTAAAGGACAGAAGACATGTTTCCATAACAACATAATTAATATGTATTGCAAACATATCTACTGTCCTTTACTTTCAATAAATGGATTTGGCGGGTTTTGAATCTATACGACTCATTTAAATGACACATAAAAAAGAATTTGACGTTTTAGAATTTCGAAGCTGTCAGTTGTGTTGTTGAATATTGCGTTTAATTCGTGTATTATTTCGTTTATTTTGTTTGGTGTTTGTGTTATTTTATATCGTTTAAGTTTTCATTGTCGTTTTTGTGTTTGTTATATATCGTTTTTTTGTGTTTCCTATATTTAAAATGCCGAAGCATTTAAATAGTCGGAGTCAAGAGTTGGTGTCATCCTTAATACGCTATTTTGAGGCAGAACGGGATAATATTGTACCTTTGTTACCTTTAACAGGTGTTAGAGAGGTAAATAGGATTATTATTAGGGACTGTCTACAGTTCCTACCAGTAGGAACTTAAGTCTTCAAGACTAAAGTTCCTACTGGTCGGAACTGCAGCCACTGAGTCAAAAGTTACTACCAGTAGGAACTTAAGTCTTCAAGACTAAAGTTCCTACTGGTCGGAACTGCAGCCACTGAGTCAAAAGTTACTACCCGTCGGAAATTCTGTTATGGACGCCAAAGTTACTACCACCTGTCTAGATTAGAAATGGCCTATTTGGGAAATAATGTTCAAATCTTTACTTGTTCTGCACAAAAAAACCATTTTATAAAAATCTTTGGAAAACTTATTTTATTACAATAATGAGTAAAGTATTACTTAATGGTCTAATATTATATACAATGCGTTATAAATGAAAAATTGAATCAAACATATTTTTTCATTATTGTATAAAGAAGTTTTACTAATCTTATAAGAAAGAGTATTTCTATAATAACTATAGTTTTGGTATCTTTGCTAAAAGGCTTAAATTCAAAATATATATTTAACAACAAACATTTATTTAGTAAAAACAAAAATAAAATGTAACTTAAAATTAATGGTAAAACATAAAAAATATATCCTTTTTAACTATTTATAAATAAAATATTAAAGTATCTTGCGATTTAGGTAGGAAATCTAGAAATATATCTCTAGTTTTCTAAATATATTTATAAATAAACTGCTCGTCATAAAAATCGACGCACCTAGTTTTTTGGAAAATATTTGAAAGCTCGTTATTAGAAAATTACTGAATCGATTTTGAAAATCTTTGGAAATTCTGAATAGCTGATTCTTTGACTCTTATGTCTAATTTTTGGAATACGATATTTTGCACATAGCATTATACTACAGGGTGTTAAACGAAGAGATGTATTTTTTCCGAAATTTCAAGTTATTCCCATTCATGAGGCAGTTGAGTTTGATAGTCGTAATACCCCTCCTTAATATAAGTAAGGTAATCCCTCGGAACGTTTTCGAGATTTTGTGAATATCGCGGCTTACTACGATTATATGCCAATTTTTAGAAAATTGTCGGTATTTCCCAGTTTAGTCCAAAAAATGAGCAATTGTGGATTCTTTGACTTACGTCTAATTTTGAGAATACGATATTGTGCACATAGCATTATTATACTACAGGGTGTTAAAAAAAGGGATGTTTTTTTCCAAAATTTCAAATCCTTATTCACAGGGGAGTTGAGCTTCATATTCGTAATACTCCTTTCTAATAACAGTTAGGTTATCCCTCGGGACGTTTTCGAGATTTTGTGGATATCTTGGCTAACTACGATTATATGACGTTCTTCTTCATTTTAGTCCAAAAAATGAGCAATAGTTGATTCTTTGACTCTTATGTCTAATTTTGGAAATACGATATTGTGCACATAGCATGATACTACAGGGTGTTAAAAAAAGAGATGTTTTTTTCCAAAATTCCAAATCCCCATTCACAGGCAGTTGAGCTTGATAGTCCTAATACAGCTTCCTAATAACGTTTTCGAGATTTTTTGGATATCTTGGCTAACTACGATTATAAACCATTTTTTCGAAAATTGTCGTTATTCTCCACTTAATTCCCAAAAATAAGCAAACATCTAAAGGTATCGATTAACAACACATCGTTTCCCCAATTTGCAAGTTCTTGTGCCCATCTTCTTCTAGCAGAAAAAGAGGGCAGGCAGCTCTTCGTCTTGCGTGGTATGCAACCTTACATCCGTCATTTTTTTTTAAATGTGTTTTGCTGTTTGAAAAATGTTTTCATATTCGATGATAAAAATGACAAGAACAATTGAAGGGAGGAAACTCAAAAC